ATCGGAGGTGTTTGATTGGTTGAAATGAAACCTAGTATAAATGTAGCTGGTTTAACTGTGCCAGTGTGAAGGTGGCATAAGCAAACATTTATTTTTCACACCAGCATAGGTTTCTTTAATATTTTGAAAAAGTTTCACATTCAAAGTATTAGGGAAGGAGAGGAGTTGTTATTTCATTTCATGTGCCACCATTAAAGAGCGTAAAAACATATTTGGCGGCAGAATCTCTATTCGTATATTGTTCTATGTTAACTACATGGGGGTTTTCAGGAAAACCCCAAAAAGTGAATGATCAGGCTGTAAAATTTGACTCAACTTTAGTTAAGTATGGGGGCCCCAAAACACGACTTTCACTAAGGGCCCCACACTGCTGGTTCCGCACCCCCCCCCCCCCCACCTGATTATTTTCTAGCGACGTGTTATCAGAGCGCTTTGGATTGACGTCACAAACATTGTCGGCCTCGGTATTTTCGCGCCAATGTTTTGGTGGCCCTTTAAGTACCAAAAATTTCGATGGGATTTTTTCGGTGAAGCAAAACAACTGTAAAGGAGCTAAAATAATGCCGAACTTAGCACTGGGATTGTTATCATTTTGCATACGTAGCTATTTCGTCTCTTACGTAGAGGGAATTCCCCTTTTGTCTCGAATGTTCTGTCTTCGCCACACAGTACCACGCAGCATCCCATTCTATTGTGGTAGGATCAGGGGCGGATCCAGACAAAAATTTGACATTCTCAAAACCCATTATGACCGACCGACCACGCCCATTTCCCGGAAACGCCCAAGAAATTGTTTTCTGTCTTTTATGGATGCAATGATTAAAATTATTGAAATTTTAAGAGGAGAAATTGAAACAAACAATAAGAAGTGGCAGACACCCAGGGGAGATGAAGGGAGGTAGTTGTTCCCCAACATTTTGGGAAGACAGAGGTCTTTTATTCTAAAAAGAATGGACAAATGTGATGTCATCTTATCAAAAAAATAGGCTTGCCCCCTCATATTATTGCCCAAAAAACAACAATGATGCAACATTAAAGAATTACTTAATAAGCATAGCAACACTAGTAATTGAAAATTGGGTAATGCAGGGAAAAATAACACAAAGATCAAAACAAAATGTGTGTGGCAAATTGTGCTTGGTTTTCTAATGGTTTAACATGTGGAATTTTATAGAAAGAAGTGTAGTTTTGTGGACATCCAAATGATTGATAAAAATTTAAGGGCACAAGACTCATCATAGAAGAGAATTATTAACGAAAGTTGACCAATGAAATTACTAAAAATGCAGGCACTTTCAGAGTATACAAGCCATAGAAACTTGGACAAAGAAATGGGCAAAAACCTTTTCTAGCAACAAAAGTAGACTGCTAAGGCTAGTCAACTTCTTTCTGGATGCTAACTCTCTTAAATGCATCATATCTTTTGGCATATGATAATTGCACTGCTTTAGAGTAAAATATTTCTGCATCAAAGTAAAAGTCTGTATATCTGTTTCAGATTTGTTGTTCATCATTTGGAAATACATGGAAGAAAAATTACTTTGGGATGACTGTCTATTTAGAAGATCCATCAAATTTGAATCTTCTGAGACCTGACACTTTATACTAAACTTCCCTTTGCTTAGCTTTCAGATGCACTTTCTTTTGTCAAAGAAAATGATAATTTTTTGCCTTCATAATATTTCCTTCCACAGGAATGTTAACCAAAATTAGCTTTTTATCCAAACCACAATTCCATCAAAACTTAGTCTGGTAATAGGCTTGCTAAAATAAGCAAACAAATGCATTTCTCATCATTTTTCTTGTTGAAAGACTACTCCATTACTCCAACTCCTGCCATACTAGATTACATCATACCAAATACTGCATTTTAACATGCATTAAAAACAGATTCTATCTGCCTTTACTGTGTGTACTAACTTAATGTAAAACATACTTTATTGGACAGCATTTCCAGTTCCTAGTACCACCTTGCTCAAATAAATATATCTCAAGATTTTGACTTCTGTGTTGCATTCTCAATAAACCTTGTTCGTTATTGGCTTAGTATCAATAAAACAGAAAAGGAGATGCATCTCCAAAACAAGAGTGCAGTGTATGACAATAGGCCCATGTAGCTCATATGATTAACCACATAAAATTTCCAAAGATGCAACATGTCAAATGGTTTCAAAATAGAACACAACAGCCCACCATAGCATAAAACTTTTCACCAAAGGCTGTGACAACAAATCCTATTCTGCTTGGTAACAATATCAGTAACAAGACTGTAAGAAAGTAATGACTTCTCTAACTGTTAAAATCTCTCTTAACTTTTTTACAGCTAGTTCTTTAAATTAAATTACAGCAAAAGTGAAAATCAACTTGCAAATAAATAACATGTTATTTAAAACAAATTAAATAGCTATTCAAACAAACTAAAATGTATCCATAAACATTATATTACAAAGATAGGCAACCATTTAATCATTGAATGAATATTCTAGTTCTAGTTAAATTCAGAACAGTGTAATTTTTGTGAATTCTACATTTAAATCACATTACACAAAAACAGAAAGACAATGGTAAGGTATCGGTGTTAAATTAAGTATTTTACCAGCATCCAGAGGGGCCAGTCTGCAAACAAAACAAACTTTTTGCAGAATTTACCACCTGAGCCTCTAGGCCCAGTAGCAGCAGCACAAAATGAACCCCTATATAAAATTTTTCAGCAGTACCTCAAAGTCTGACCCTTTCTCGTTCAACAAGGTTCAGCCATCAAAATGAAAGAATTCTTTTGCCACAATAAATGTCGAAGGTTGTGTGTTACGATCTGGTTCTGGCGCCTAGGCCCTCCCGGCAGACTTGTAAGTAACCATTCCCTAGTCAGCGAAAAAAAAGAACTCCTCGATGGTATCCAAAGCACAATCGGTCAATAACTGTTTCAATTCTTCCAATACATCCATACTTGCAATGGGTTCTTGTGAAATTATTCTCTAATCAAGCACAAACACAAATCATTACCAGGCACTGCCACTGCCACAGCCACTGTAGTCTGGAGTGGAGTGTGGATTCTTGATCACGTGAAGTTGGTGTTCCCTGTCAAATTTAGCTACTTTGTGGACCAGCCCACTAACTTCTCAAGATTCTCAAACTGCGACGTAGGCAAGACCTCATAAAATATATGTTAAACATATGCCAGATATACCCTATTAAAAGTGAATGGGTTTAATACGTCATTCTGGCGAATTTTCCTCTCGTTAAAATCTTTCAGGTCGACCTCTTCTAAGTGACAAAAATGAATTGAAATTCTCTGCGTGCGCATGCAGAAACTGCGTGCAACTTTCTAAAAATGCGAAGGAACTTCTCAAAATGCATGGCAACAGTCGATAAACTTTCTAAAAATCATGCCTAGATACAGGACGCGGCGCAGCCTCTTACTACTCTCCTGGGTACTAGGTTCAATGAAGGAGAATTTGGTTTTTCATCGGAGAAGATATAAAAATGTTTCGCAAAGGCAAAACGGAGTAAAATATAGCAAATACGACGATTATGTAGAAATAAATACCTAAAATACATAATAAAAAGATGTATGCTTATCTTGAATCTTAAATCTGAGCTCATTCATTACTTTTAGCATTTTATTTAGAATAATCAAACTGGGAAAATCTGACATTCTAAATTGAGAATGTTGAGAATGTCTCGATCCGCCCCTGGGTAGGATTACTCCTCACTAGGATTACATCATGTTTTGAAGTCATTAGTTTATTTTAGGTAACATTTTATGCTTAGTAATGATTTTCTGTTATTTTCCTTGTACATATAAATTAATAAATATACATAGTTTGTTTGATTCAGGAGATTCGGACAGATATTCAGCGAGTTCAGATATCTACAAAACGAGTCAAGGCTAAACAATCTACATAACAGACAAAATAGCTACGTATGCAAAATGATAATAATCCAAATGCTAAAGCTGTTATTATTTTTGCTCTATCACAGAATAGAAATGTCATTTATTTTCTGTGTCTCTATTAAACCACTGAAAAAAATTACTGACACAGACAAAGATGGAGAAGAATTTAGGGGCTATTTCACCTACTGATAGATGATTTTACCGAAAAACTAAGGATTTGTAGACAAACTGAAGATTTGTCGACGAATTCGTGAAGTATTGGGGGTGTCACGCCCCCTACATCCCCGCTAGCTATGCCCCCTGCTGCCTGATTGAAAAAACATTGTCTGCATTTTCGCTTTGTAAACATGGCCTACTGAAAATGCTCGAGGCAAAGAAGATGCACCTCCCTGTTCAGGAAGCAAAATTCTCTCAATTAATACAACAGCCTCTTGTTATTCACATATGCACTCTGAACCAAAGGTCACCCTTTTTTCTTTCACAGACGTCTATCACTAGAGTTTTAGTATGACTCCTCCCCTCCCTAATTTTTCCTAAAAATGAATAATCAATGTTTTTCTGAGAATCGCCAAATTGTATATTCTGAGCAGTTAAGTAGATTGTTAAATTTTAGTCTGGGAGATGTATTTTTAGTCATTCTAGAAGGCTTGATTTCAGAAGTTTTCTTTCGCGTCCACAAACCATGGTGGATCCTCCTATGTCATTAAATTTTGTTCTTAGCCCCCCCCCCAGTTTAACTTTTGGGGCGCCGTCTCTGCAATAAATCACATTCTGTCATGATTTGTTTGAACTGCGACATTATCTATAAAAAACATCCGTGCTTTGAATCAATTTTATTCAGACATATTTCATCATCAAAAGATGCAGGTGTTTCAATGTAAAGATTTAGAACTCAAACCGTTATCTAAAACCAGCCACAGATATCACCAGGGAGATAAAATTTATCTTTTCAACCCTGACTTAGACTTCTAATTCTATTCAGCTTTTGTTAGACCATAGTTGATATTAGACAACGGTTTAGATCCGGTTTATCGGGAGGAAGTTCAAATTCTTATATCTTGGATTATTTCAAATCCGCATGGAAGGGGATGTTGACGGGCGTTGCGAAGGAGCGGATGATATTTCTTTTATGAAGAAGATTCAAAAACAACTATTGTGAAAGAAAGTGGGTGGAACGTCGTGTTGCAGAAAAAGAGCAGTTGATCACCAATATGGCCGAAGAGGTTAGTGCAGCATTCCAATATAATTCTTTTCTATAACCCTTGCCGTTCTGCTAATCAAGGAGATCAAGGCTTGCTACGTTAAACCTAGAAGCTCTTTCGTAGTTCAGAATATTTCTCTTTACGAGGGAGACGACTGCTCCTACTGGACGCAAAATTTTATCGAGCATTAGCGATCTTTCTGATAAATTGGATCGATCTATAAGGCAAGATAGGTAAAATGCGAAGACGTACGAAATAATACAAAAAATTACAATCTGTTAGTTGAAAATCACTTCACAATTACACAGTCAACAGGTTGTTTTTTATATCTAGGCTAACGTGTTGGCCAAGGGCAATGGCGAACAAGGTGCTGACACCCTCCCATGAAGGCTTGCAAACGGAAGCTCCTGAAACTAATGCAGAAAAAACACTATTTCTGTTTAGATCCCAGCCTATTAATAAGGAAATACCTCGGGGTGTCTATGCAATGTACGAAACTATTTCCATCGAATCTTTTGCGGTTCCACTGTAAACGGAAACCTCTCCAAACCAACATTAATTTTAATGGCTCTCAGTATGAAAGGACAAAATTTTCAAACCTACCACTCAAAATTGTTATCTAGAGCTTTTGCAAACAGTTTTCCTTTCAACCTTTTGATAGGTTTTCTTATTTCGAATTTAATGGAAGGTAGGAGCCAAAGTGAAAGAAACATGGCAGTCAGCAGGGCAGGGGTATAGTCTCTATTTTCAGGAAAAATAAAATGTTAATAATTGATAATTCGCCACGCAGTCTCAAATCTATCCACCTGCAATTTTCAGTTTAAATCAAAGCCCTTGTTAATACCAAAAAGTGGGCAGTTAATGCCAAAAGCCCAATACTATTGTTTGTATCTTCCTTACCTTGGTTTTCATCATTTTTGCAACTTTTTCTAACAGGGATGAAGAAAACAAGAGTTTTTACCCAAAAATCTCTAAATAAGTTTTCAAGAGTGGAGAAAAGAGTTTTCTGTCAACTGAGACTCAAATGTCACAGTTGAGAAGGGTACTGGTTCATGTCCTGGTTTCTTGTGGAGTTTCTTAACTCCACTCACCAAAGTCTGTGTCTTTTATGCAGAGTTAAGGACATTTTTTCAGCAGGCAAAGTATACTGTATATTGTTTGAGAAATGACCATGTTGGACCCCTTCCAAACATGAATTTGATTTTGTGATAGCATGGTTTTTGATACCATAACACTATTTCAGGCCACCATAAATGCATACTTCTGAAAAATTTCTAAATGTGGAAGGAATTTGAAACACTATTTTAGGTTTTTTTGTTGATGGTTGTAAACAAACTTTTGTAATATGACTTCAGAGCCTGCTGCCCTTTAGGCTGAAATAATAGGTGAGAATATAAACATGCTGTCAGGTATGGTTGGTTCAATAGATGACAATATAGACAGTCTTCTCTTTTCTTGGCTGAACTTCTGCATTGATTAAATGAATCCAAACCAATTAGAGGAAAATGGGAATTCTTCACGTAGCATTCTGTTAGGGAAACCGTTCTGAATGCTGCTCTAATGACATTTCTGAACAGTGAATGTGTATATGAAATTAGCATTATTTCTGTTGGGTGTAGCAGAGCTGTATTGTATAATTTGGAAGCAGCCTTAGTTACCTTGTCCAGGACCTTTTTAACACATAAAGCTGCAGACCTGAACTAGGCAATTTATGTGCTTTGAAATTTGTATTTTTATAGGTGAGCTGTGAATCGCTCCCCTCATTTGCTGAGGCGAGCTAAATCAGTAACACATAGAATGTACTTTAAAGACAATAGACAGATGACTTAAGCCCCTTTAGTATCTGTTGGTTGCCTTTAATAGCCTCAGTCAGGAGCATGCTGTTTTATTTCTTTCAATTTGCATTTGCTCTAACCGTGACTTAAGCACCCCCTTTACTTAAAGTATTTAAAAGAACAGACTCTTTCAGTTTCACAACACAAAAACAACATTTTTCTTGCCAAACAGTCTTTTTGTTGTACAGAATTTGAAAATGGCTTTGAAAAACAAATTTTGAAACAAACTTAAGTTATACGTCTAACACTCTTCAGAGTATAAAACGTCAGAACATAGATGGAAAACTCTCTCTAAAATACCCAGTTTTGGATCGAAATAGGCCAATCAGAAAACGCGAGCACATTACTGTTGAGGTTGTCCAATCTTTGCCGCTTTCCTATTGAAAATGTTACCAACGGATTCCTAAGGTTAAAACGAACTCCTTCTGTCTACACAAAAGCCGTCTGTCATGTTTATATAGTAGATAGATTCACAAACTGCTAGATGGAACGATGATCATGCTTTGCCAATAATGCGAAACATGTCGCCATTATAGTTTTTCACCCAATCTGGGTTTTTCAGTAAATGCCGCTGGATAGTGGAAATTCATGTTTTGGTTGTCGTTTTTGATCTGCAAGACAGAGTACCCTGTTCTCTTTGAGGGATAGTTTTGTTTCTATTGCTAGAAGGGACCTGGTGTTTTATTATATCCCCCAATTTACAGTTCCTACCAATTTCTTCGATATCACTTCCAAAAATATGCCTGTTTTATTAAGATTGAAAGGTCCTAATCGCTAGAAACGTACCTTTCGCTTAACCACCCTTTTCCAAATAGATCGAAGTTCATGCCTATTATAACAAAAACCGCCCAACAAGCAAAAAGTTAATTGCAAAAAATGCAGCGATGGGAGAAATCGCTGTTACAAAAATAAACCAATTAACCCTTTTCAGGATTCTCTGAATAGGAAAAGGGCAAATGAATGGAAATTTTAGGGGAGCGATTCTCCCTTCATGTTCTGTTTAGGAGAGCAATTCATAAAAGGGCGTGGTCGCAAAAAATTTCTGCTCGCTTCGCTCGCAGGGGGGTCCTAATTCTCCGCTTTTGCCCCAGGGCCTCCAATTCTCTAGGCGGCCCTGCATGCAAGTTTGGAACCGTGACAAAATGGTCGCAGTTCGCCCTTTCGTTTGCGCTAGCACTCTGGAACTGAGCTAATCTTGCTCTGCCATCCGGAATGATTTTGACCCTGTTACGAGAGAGAATGAATTTTGTACCGTCGCGGTTTCGTTTTTGAACAGGACTGTGTAAACGGGGTCCGAAATAGCCTGATTTTTAAGAGTGTGAATCGCACGCATCAAAGAAATAATGCGTGTGGTTTGCCACACGCATGGTGATTTCCTTATGACGAAGACTGCATGTGTACCCATCATATGAAATAAAAGGCCAAAAAAGCCGGCTGATAAGTATTAACATCGTCTTCAAGGCTTCATCTTCCCTAAAGCTGGTATCTATTACTTTTCCCAGACTTCCAATCAATTAACATATTAACAGGCTTTCGTGGGAAAAATATAGCAGGCTTGCTAACCACGGTACGCCTGAAAACAGCCAGGCATGTGGTGGCATGTGACATTTTTTCGCAAAAATTTATGGTTATCATAATAGATCTATGCAGAAATTGCCAACACGACAATGTAACACCAATAATTTTGATGAAATTGGTTTTGTTGAATCCTTAGCATCACTACTAACATTTTAACAAAAAAATGTGTTGTTTCTGAAGACTTGAGCAAGTTTCTACACATTTTCCATCAGCTTTGATTATATATCCTTAAGCAGAGTCATTGAGGGCTTGGTATTCATCTGGTTGTAATGACCATTTTTACATGTACCGAGGGCCCTCGGTTATCAAGCATCACAGCTATTTTATGTACCTCATTGGCCATTTGTTATACAAAGGGAATTTGTAAGTGGTTCGACTCTCCTACCAAGAATATGCCTGTTTTCATAAGATTGAAAGGTTCTAAGCTCTGTGAATGTACCCTTTGCTTCACCATCTTCTTCCAAATAGTTCAAAGTTTGTGACCATCTTAACACAAGCTGCCTGACAGGCAAAAAATTAAATGCAATGACGAGAGTAATCACTTTTACAAAAATAAACCCATTAACCCTTTTAAGTTTTTTCAGGGCTCTGTGAATACGAAAAGGGCAAGTGAATGGAAATTTTAGGGGAGCGATTTTTCCTTCATGTTCTGTTTAGGAGAGCACTTCACAGCTCATCTCAGGTTGTGAGAAAAGCGTGGAGGCGAGTGCAAGCTATTGCTCCTTTCGAAGAGCCAGGCCTGCCCATTGTTCTGAACTCATAAGTATACATTAATTCTGTGCAAATGTAAGCTTTTTAGCATACACTTTTTCATCTTACATATGCAAAAAGCATAAGTATACGTTGCATGTTTCTGCGAAAAGCTAAAAATCAAGCTTTTTAGGTTCATAGTTTCTTAACATGCCATTTAGGGTTCTTCTTCCCCTTCCACTTGTACAAAGAAAAATAGAAAAATCACAGCAAAACTCGCTAGTATATTTGGCCCATAAATTCTTTGCAAACTGCTTGCAGGGATTATGCCATCATTGTCAACAATTTTTGTTCCATATCAATGATTCTCATCTATATTACCATTTTTTCTTGCACCTGTCCAAGAATTAGAAACTTGCCCAGAATTCCTCAAGTTCCCATACCCTGGGTTTCCCCTACCAACATTCCTTTAGCCACGAATCTTACAGATGAGGGTAATTTTGTACCTCTTCATAAAGCTTTCCTTTGAAGTCAGTCATTGCTAAAAAATTTTTGGTAAAGAAGTATAAAAAAGTTGAAGATTGCTCAACTTGATAAGTTTGGCAGATGGGTTTGCAGAAAACAGAATAAACTTCTATTTGCAAAACAAATGTCTCTGATATGGGGCAAAATTGAGCACATCCTAGTTCTTTGGCAAGCCAATACCAGACAAGCTGGTGCCTCCCACCGAGAAATAAAGCGACCAGGTTTAAGTTTTGATGTAATACATTGCTCCAGTCATACCATGGAAAACATTATAGAAATATTGTCTTATATTTGCTCCTTAGGTAAAAAAATGACACAAAAAGATAATATACCTTTTCTTGACTTGATTTTTTCTTGTTACAATCTTTCTAGGAAGCAAGAGATGTAAAAGATACAGAAAGGGGGGAATCTGAAGGTGTGTATGTGCAACATGATTTTGAATTTAATTTCATGCTTAAAACATACTTCAGTTTTTGTCACATTTCTGTAATTTTTTTGTAGTTTATATTTTCACGATTTGTCCTAAATAAGCACTTTGACTTTTTTAAGCTATTATAATGACACTCAAGCTCAGTTTTTCATTCAAATATAACAAGCAACATTAAAACCGGATCAGCAGGTAAGTTATGAAATACTTTTAACTAAGCTTGAAGTGGCTGTAGACATATGTTTGCCAGTGCCCCAGCATTACACACCAGAAGGCACAGTACGAAAAAATTTTTAATTCATACAAAACTGATGATTGTTTTTGTATTGAATGTTTAGACTCTATAATGAACTACTGGAACCAATGCCAGGTTAAAATTTATTTTAAAGATACATATTACCCCTTAGTGGTCAAACATTTTATTGATTTTATTAGTTCAGAAGATTGATGAGTTCTTGGAGTTGACCAAATTGTCTCTTTCTGTTATAACACTTTTAAAAATGTTATCCTCTGAGAAAAACCAGGAAAATGCTTATTTAATCTTAATTTGGGGACACTGCAGTGCTTTATCGCATAAAGAAGATAATTGCAATGGTGATAGACACCTTTGAAAAGCTAGGAAACATCTTTAAGGACAGAAAAATGAACATCAAAATAAAGAACCAGCTGCTGAAATGCTATGTACATTCCGTCCTTCTCTATGGTAGTGAGTGCTGGACCATATCATCAACAATGGAAAACAAGCTGAAGGCTGCAGAAATGTGGTTCTACAGAAGAATGATGAGAGTGTCATGGAAAGATCACATACCTATCTAATGAAGAAGTCCTTAAAAGAGCAAACTCAGAGAGAAGCCTAATCAAAACCATCCATCAGAGGCAGTTAAGCTTTTTAGGACATGTTATGAGGAAAGAAAAGATCAAAAATCTAGTGGTTACTGGGAAAATTGAAGGCAAAAAGCCCAGAGGAAGACCAAGACTAACATATATTTCTAGCTGGTGCAAGTGTACTTTGAAGTGCAAATTGAGCAAAGTAGAGTTGTTACGCAACACAAAGAATAGGATTGTGTGGAGAGCCATGATCGCCCACACCCATATCGGACAAGGTACCCACAGAAGAAGAAGAAGCTACACCACTTTGTTTGGCTCTTGTTTGCTGTGAATGGCTTGCCTGGTCAAAAATTAATTTGCACTTGAATTGCCTTAAATAAATTGTCTGAAAGCAACGAACTGCACCTTAAAAACTGTAAGATATACTTGTTTAGATACGAATGATCAAGGTAAATACTACTGTAGTTATAGAGGAGCCTATAAAAAGGGATTCCCAAGCTTTGGCTGGAGAGGTCCTTTATTAAGTGCCCTTTTTTTGTTTTAATCCTTTCCTTCTTCTTTTACAGCCATTATGAATCCAACCCAGCCACCTCCTTCATACGATAGTCTGTTTGGAGAACTCAAAGCTGCCAAACAAGAATCATCTGGGACTGTGGACTTCATGCAAAAATTTTTTACAATATTGTTTGCATCAGGTGATAATACTAAAAATATTTTTGCAGATTTAAATTATAAAGAATATTGGGACACCCTTAAAGAGGGCCATGATTTAAACCTTGAAGACTGAGGGCCAGTCCTGGAAATTGTCATAAAGTATTTTCAGAAAGTAAAGTTCAGGTTTAAAGATCCAACACCCAAGATCTAAAACTTTTAGATCCAACATCCATAGAAAAAGTAGATCAGTAATTTGGACATTTGAAAAGCTTCAACAACTATTATAAATTAGGCAAAAGGCAATCCATCCAACCACTGAGTAATCAATCTTCAGCCAGAGTCTAAGAGAGCTGGGGCATTGACAACACTTAGTCATGAAAATGAACAAGAACACATGGGTGGCTTTTCTTAGGTGCAATTTGCAGAAAAAGGAATATAGAGACGAAATATACATGTCAAATAAGCAGCGTTCCTTGCATTGATAGATGCTATGTTCTACAAAAGAAAAGGTTTCCTACACTAGAAACCTAATGTCAAAATACTAGAAATTAGGTCTATGATCTTGGAATCTCTGATCAGCCTCACTTTCTCAGATTACTATTTCTCAATTTGGAATTCTCTTGTTATAAAGTCTAGGATCTTAAAGTCAAGTATCTCCATGTCTCAGATCTAACTTTCTGATACATTAGTAACAAAGATCCAAGTTTCTTTGATCTTTTATTTTCCAAGGCTGTTTCTCTACCTACTGGTTTACTAGATATAAAGGCTGCTGTCATAGCCAATTCAAAGACTTCCTCCAATGTGCCAGAAAGGTTTATGACATTGTTTTGATAAAAATCTGATTGTCCTGTTGATTTTAGATCCTTGTTGATAATGACCCTTGAATTGTTTAGTTGAGAATTTAAACATGGCTAGGATTTTAAATCAAGCTAACAAAGGCTTTCTTTTTTCACAGTTGGGTTTATAATATGCATGGCTTTAATGCTTGCAATTCCAATTGCTTATATCATTATTGGTAAGTGGTCCTATAAATTTTTATTAATTTTGTTATACCATTGTTTAGATGTAATTCATGGATGTCATTTTTTACTTTTTAGTTATTGATTTAGTATTGATATTTAAAACTATTAATAATAATGAATTAAGTTAGAACAAACATGCAGTTTTTTGGCTTTTTGGCTAAGTAATAGCAGTTGACAGATAGTCTGAGAGCAAAACGTACCAATCAACAGCCTGATGTTGTAATTGCAGAGAAGCCCTCAAAACTGGCTTGCAAACAAGACAAACATGTGTAATTTGTTGGATTGTGACAGACTAAATTCAGGTTAATACATAAGTCTTGCTCAGTGGGCCTGCAACTAGCAGATGTACCTATATGCCTTTTGTAATGTTTAAACACAATAGCCAATACCCAAGTACTTTTTAGAAGTGTTTTGCATCTAGGAGTTGACATGTAAGATGAGAAGGGTATTGTTAGAAGGCTTAAATACTTTAGAAAAAAACATATTGACATTGTTGGAACTGATTGTTAGGTGTTTTTCACTGCAGGTGCCAAATATAAGGATGACTGCCCAGTTGAGAAATACATTCCAATATATCTGATAGTGGCAGGGGCTTTTGGCATCCTCTCAAACTTGATCAGCTTGACTCGTTCCAGCCACAAGAAGCGCAAGCAAAATGCAGGTGAAGAAGTAGAGGAGAGTAGTAAGGGAAGCAAAGGTTGTGAAGGAATCCTGAACTGCTTTCTAATGGCTTGGTTCATTGCTGGCAATGTTTGGATTTACCGCAACTACAAGCCTAACTTTGACAACCCCCATGATCCCAAATATTGCCACCAAACCTTGTACCTCTTTGCATTCTGGGCAACTACAGCAGTTTACATTTTAGCAGGTGTTGTCTGTTGCTGTGGTTGCTGTATTGCAGTTGTCGCTGCAGCAGTGTCAGGTTAAGCCTTACATGTAGCAGAAGGATCGTGGGCATAATTAACTTTTTCTATTCTTCTTTCGAAGCAATCTTTATTTTTTTGTGAAACTACTGTAATCAAAGTTTTCAAGTTTTAGCTTTTAATGGAGTAATATACACATGCACACCTTATCACAATCTTATAATCCAAGCTTTATAACATGAACTCAAGACAATTACATCACTTTGGGAAAAAGTGACTGTTTTATAGTATTGTGTCTACCTTTGAATCCAATTTGTAACTGCACATCAAAATAGGTAAGATCAATGATGGTTTCGCTTTTGTCTACTTTTTAAAATAGGCAACTTTTAAAAAAGAGTGGAGTATGGAAGAGAAACTAAAAATAAGTGTATAAAAATATTGTTTGTCTATCACATGGATATCTAACCTTAAAACCTATCTTTATGAAATATTTGCTTGTGCATTGGCAGTTTTTAGATAATTGGTCCCCATAACATCCTATAAGATATTTTTTGATAATCTTAATCCTTAGAATGTAATGTTACATGTTATGAAGTTGTCTAAATACAAATTGACAAAAAGAGAAAACATTGGTACGCTTAGACACTCTTAAATCCGCCACTATTAAAGAATATAATGAAAAAGCGATAAGAAAAAGTAATCTTAATTTCATGGCTTTGGCCAGTTAACAAGACCTATGGAAGACAAACTTTTGCAGACACCCAGAAAAAATAGGCCTATTATTATTACAGAGTATAATAATGGATGATTTATTTGAAAATTTCCTATAATTGTTGGAGCAAATGAGGATGCATTGCCCATCTGTAGCTGACAATTTATCAGCAAATCTTTCTATACAGGATACCTTGGCTACTGTTTTTCTGTGACTGGGTGCTTGGCTGCAAAGCTGAAGGCAGGGCTGTAAACCTATCATGTCGATTAGAGAGTGTGCAGTGGTTCATAAAAATGCCAAGCAACTTATGATATATGTGTTTTGGACAAAGAGGGACAAACCTCTTAAAAGCAATTTTACAAGATTTTTGAACACAAGACTTAATTTTTGAACACAGATTCAAATTAAGAGCAAAAATTTTAATCTACTTGGAAGTTTCCATCATGTTTTTGCTCACGATATTGATTTTATGACAGCATAAAGATAAAAAAATATTTAGGGATTTGACCGTGACTGAAAACTAAGGGAGTAAAGTTTCACCTGGAACAATTTTTGCAGTCAAATTCCATTACGTTTTTCTAAACTTTATTTCTCTGTACAATGTGAAAAATTGCATATGGCAGAAAAGTATGGTGATAAAACCAAATCTGAGCTCAAAAAGTTGTACAATGAAGTTTTGAGTAATTTCCAAAATGATTAAACTTTCAACCAGGTAACAAAAGAGTGGGTTGTGAAAGTGCAGCTGTCTCAAGTTTTACACAATGTAACAGTTGCTTTGCAGTACACAAAAAAAACTTGAAGGTTGCATTTTTGAATGCCAATTTAACCCGTGAGATGGAATCATAAAAAGGGTAAAGGCATCTGATAGGATCATGTCGCCCTGATTGAGTATACCTGGATACAAATTAAAATATTTCTATTTGGCATATATTTGCATTTAAAATTTGCCCCTGATAAAATTGTTCAGGCCTCTTAGATATATATATTTCCAAAGATCAGGTAATTTGTTTTACTAAATCTTTTGAAAAAGCTATGATACTTCTTAGTTGTCTAATCGGCATAAATTTCTGACATTGCCACAATTGGGTATGTTTTGGTCGTGAAATTATTAGCAAGTATCCAATAATTAGTTCATCGATTGAGAAATTGAACGCAAAATGTTTTGTTAACTTTGAATAATGGTTTTTACATGTGATTTCACGATTTTGATTAATTTGTCTAATCTTAGCCCCAATATCCTAATTTTTTGCAATAATTAAAGCAATGGAAATGTTGCGTTTCCAGACCAGGTACTTATTCAGGGCGACGTGACGTGACGTGACAATTGATTGACCACCCAGCCACATCATGTTGTTGAACCAAGACAAGTTTCCTCTCTAAAACTCACTCCCGTAATTGCAGATTGAGTATGGGACTCAAAATGTTTCACTGAATATTACCCGATATACTTTTTACCAAGGGGAGAGAGAGTACACTAGAATAGGCATTTCTCGTAAATTTCAAAAAAGGAAAGGCATCTTTCCTGGGGGGGATACTTCCCAGGAAGTCCTATGAAGGCACGACAGGGGGTACTCCTATGAAGGCCCGACACGGGGGTCCAGTCGGTTTGAGAGTCTTACCAAATGGCCCATTTTTGATAATAAATCAACTGTTCAGTTTAGCTTGCGATTTATTATAGATTAGGAACAAGATTTTATTTCCCCGGAAACAACAACAGTCAGTTGTGAAAATATTTGTCAAAAAAGGACATAATTTCGGTTTTTATACTACCATTTGAGGGTTACTGTCAAAAAATACTACCATTTGAGGGTAATTTTTGAAACTTTTAACGTTGGCCCTCTTTGACCCTGACTGGACCACCTGTTAGGCCATAAAAGGAGTAACCCCCGGGCATCTTTCCAACGTACAGTTCCAGATGTAATGGAGAACGGACCAGAAATTTTGGTATTTGAACTCACCTAGAATTGAAGTACTCTTGTTTCTTCAATCACATTATTTACACCATTTTAAACTTCCAAGTATCATTAAATGGCAGTAGTTGTCCCCTATATTCTTGGTACGCCATAAAATAGTCTCCCGCCAAAACTGTCTCAGTTCGAGGCTAACATTTCATAAATATGTATAAGCTTTTTGCCTGCAAAAGGTCCACAAAAAGATCTTAGCGTCAAGCGTCAATAACATCTCAAGACTGTTATGAAATTCAGATTTAGTCAAAAACAAAGGCGGAAGCCTGCAAATAAATGAAACTTCGCAAAAATTATGATAGGGAATGATTTATTCCATTAAGCAAGGCTATCAGTATTACGTAACCATAACACAACCTTTTAACTAATATGAAGTATAAATCAATATTAGAATGCACAGCTTCTTTAACATGACATTACCATGATTGACCAAATTAACTTTCAGTACCGAAAGAAATGACACAAGAAGATTACGCAGTTGGAAATCTCCATATTTCTATCGTCAGCCACATTTTCTGAAATAGAAAGGAAACCTGGATCCGAAAATTTATTTTGTTATACAACATGAATTCGCAGTTTTATTACCTTTATAAATGCTTTATAATGGCAGCCACCTGCTAGCGGGCATTTGACTACGTTTTGAAAATCATAATTTAAAATGTCCGGCTTATAGTGTTGTAATTAACGCGAGAAAACGAGAATCTGGCCTATAATTAAGCTGTAGACGGATTAAATATGTAAATAAACGCAGCTAAACAACGCAATACTGTCACTTAAAATCAATACGCGATTTAGAAAAAAATTAAAAAGAGGTTTAATTGGCAATGAAACAGAACAAGTAATTCCTGGAAGAGGGATTCGAGAGGGTGCTATTCGGTTTCATATGCATAGGAAGAAGTTAATTTGTAGGAAAGTCTCTCTTAGATAAGCAAATATTGGCTTAAACAATATTTAACAAAAATTCAATAAGTATTCTTGCTCATTTGAGCGTCGACCGCCCTTTTGCAATGGTCTTAACAAAGAGCAGCTGCTTTTGGTAAGTTATTGAATATTCAAGTTGTTTTTAGAGATAACTTCTGACTTTTGAGATAGCAAATAACCTTCACTTGATACCGAGAGGAGAAGAGACCAAGACAGGAAACTGAAAAATATTCAGGAGCGCTGAAAGATAGCAGTGCTGTTTTGCAACTCTTTTGCATTCTACAATAGGCCATTCTACAAAAGTGTTAGACAGTACAATCACCCCGAAGAAAACTTTCAAGAAGGTGCCCCAGAGTGCATTTCTTTCTTCCCGCAATATGCATGTTAAGAGCAGCACCTTCTCTTTTAAATCAAACTCTTTGTGTACTATTTGAGGAAGTTAAAGCAGGTGAGAAAGTTAAAGCAATATGCCATTTCCTGGGAATGTATGTGTATCAATCCGATATCATATTACATCTCAAGCAAAGAGACATACCTCAAGCTCAAGCTAGTTTCAAGTTATCTGCAATTGAACTGGTCCAATTGTTTAAGCAAAATGCCGTTTTCTTATTTAAATTGTCCTACGTCGGATCAAGCAGTCGGGCAACATCCTCATGTTGTCAGTGCTTTAGACACAGGAACGATGTTGGTGACAATTTCCATGAATTCGTTCTTCATAATTGCACTCCTGAAGTTGCCCATCCTACAAACGCAGACAAACATGCTTCTTGGTGCTTTGTGTGTCTCAGATCTCTTTGTTGGGCTTGTTTGCCAGCCAGTTTTTTTAACATATCTCTTCACTTTGGCAGCTGAGAAAAATGTATCCAAAACTTTGGAGTCTGCTTTAAGCTGTACATTTTGGATATGCATCGGTTCTTCATGCGTTGCAATATCATATATAACATTAGATCGCTATACTGCCATCTGCCACCCTTACCTCTACAGGAAATATGCAACAACCAAGAATTACCTACTTTCGCTCTTTGCTGGTATAGTAATAGTGGCAGTGCTTCTCACACCAAGCTTAGTCACCCAAGACGAAACCATAGCCGATGGTGTGGAATTCTTTTACACTACAATAACTCTTTTAATTGTAATTCTCACTAACGTACGTGTATACAAAGTCATCAACATGCACGCAAATCGGGTAGTCAGAATTGGGACGTTTGTCGGAGAAGGAAACGACTCAATAATCCATGTTAGTAAAGAGCGAAAGAGAACCAAATCAGTTGTGCTTCTGATGGTCTTGTGGGTTGCATGTAAAATACCTTTTTATGTCAAGGTGATCTATGGCTTACAAAGCAAAGAATACAACTGTAACCGACAACAAATATTCTCAACCATGGATATCTATGCAAAATTTTTCAATTGCCTCTTAAGTTGTCTGGATCCTTTTGCACTTATCCTTTGTTGCAAGAAAAAGCGAAAAGTATTCAAGCAACTTCTTTGCTTTGGAAATCGATGATGGAAAATTTGAACACCTTTGTCTTAAACATACTGAAGGGCTTAGTCAGCATTTCTACCGTTTAAATTGCTTGTGACTTTGAAAATATTCGCTAAGAAAGACTTCTGTTTATCAGGGACGGATTTAGTGGGGAATGTGTAGAGGGTGCGACACTCCCCAATATTTCTGTGTCTTTCAGTAAATTTTGCTTCCATTCGGTAAAATCATTTTTGGTAGTCAGTAGTAATCAAATAACGTCAAGGTTTTACCTTATTTACGTTATTTATTTAACTTCCATATCCGAAATTTGAAAATGGGCGTTTCCATCATTTTCCAATGATCTGAAGAGTGTGGGACCAAAATCCAATTATTATCAAAATCGAAATCCACCCCCCCCCCATTTTTGTCACTTAGATCCGTCCCTGCTGTTTATGATCAACAGTTTGTCTACTATCTAGCATGCGTTATCGATTCTGGCATATGCCTCATCCACAGAAGTATAGAAAAAACAGTTGATACATAAGAAGTTTGATTAAAAGCTCGGTTTGGTCTAGCTAATTTTTATATTAAATTCCACTGTATAATCCGAGTTCCATGCTTGAACACTTATCAAACAGACTTGAAATAATATATGAATAATGAGATATAATGAAATATGCCAATAGTACATCTCTGTTTTAATGACATATCAATATTCCAGAGATGTCGTAACTTTTACCTAATGGATGAAATTTTAACGAATTCGTAGCACGTGAAGTAGGTTGCAATATAAAACGAGCTACACTGCGCCTTTGATTGCACTTCAACCACTAGAAAATTTACAAAATAAACTTCACTTGTAAAATTTCAGATTGAATTGGGAATATTGAGATGTAGTGATTTGCAATGTTAAAAGCGTAGTGGTAATGGCCCAGCCTAGGGTTTACAAGCCTTAAAAGCTCAGTTTAGTTCAGTTCAGTGTTATATTTATTTCCATTGTATACATACAAATTGTCACAAATGCACATATACACACTTACAAATAAACTACAAAAGTATGTGGAAGAGAATGTGAAAGAACTTTTATAACATAAATATTACACGAAATCATAAACAAACATAGAATAGAGAAACAAGTTAGGATTTTACACACGAAATAACTCAAAAGAGGCAACACCCAGTAGTTAAAAACTAATCGAGGAGAGAGCACCTCCTTATAAATGGAAAGCCTTTTGCTTAATTTGTTATGCCGAAAGTATAACGATTGCCTGCAATCAACCATAGATACAAAGAAATAAAAATGTAGACTGTTTTAAAGAAATCACCATTGACTATATTCAAGCTGTAAAAGTGAGTAGTGTAATTATAGACAAAGAGAAAACTAAAGCTAGGATTGCTCGTTGACTTTTTCTACAGTAAAAGGTTAATAGGTTGTGCGAATTGAAATCGTGGACTGAATGAAACCACAAATTTGGATATTAGATAAGATAAGATAGATTTTGTATTGTTGAACAAGAAAAGAGATTGACACATGACCAGGAATATCTTTCAAAGGTTTTTAAAATTTCCAAGAGGTTATGGAAAGATTGGAACTTATGCTTTGTTTAGAAGAACATTGTTAATTACTATTTTTCTTTTTGTGTTCCACGTAAAAGGGTTTCGAAGACATGTAAATGCAAATGTATTTGATACTGAAAAGTAGATCAGGCCGTACTGAATCACCAATTATAATGGATGAGGAAGAAAAGCCGAGTAAATCAACACATTATTAAGTAGATTCATTTATTAGTTGCATGTTGCTAGGAAGCTAAGAAAGGGGTTCCACGGATTACACGTTCTTTGTTATTAGATTTTATTGATTCAATTATCTTCTTGGTATTAGTATCGATAAATTCTGTATTGCAGATGCACTTACCTGATAAATGAATCTCTTCAATCAGGCCAATATTCTATAATGCTTGAGTATGCTAAAGTCATTGCTATACACAAAGCAAAGTCAAAGAGTGATGTTTCAAACTATCGCCCAGTCTCACTTCTGCCTATATTCAGTATAATCTTTGAAAAACTTATGCATAAAAGACTGACAGGCTTTCTTGTTAAACATGATATCATCTTCGAACACCAATTTGGTCTTCAAAAATATGCATGCTGTACATTTTTATATTTCGCAAAAACATTTGATACGGTAGACCATAACATCTTATTGAAAAAGCTAGATTATTATGGTATAAGAGGTACCCCCCTTCTTTGGTTCAATTCATATTTACCGGAGAGGACACAGAAAGTTTCCGTCAATGGTGTATTATCCGATTCTTGCTATATCAAAAGTGGAGTACCACAGGGTTGTGTTCTTGGACCGTTCCTGTTTCTGCTATATATCAATGATATGCCATTTGCATCTAGCCTTCTAAAATTCCACTTATTTGCAGATGACACTAGTATCGTTTACTAGCATAAAAACTTGAAGCATAGTATCGTTTCCATATGGAAAACATAATTGATAATGAGTTATATAAAATTTCTAATTGGGTAACTGCTAATAAATTGACCTTGAATACTGATAAATCAAATTTTTAAATTATTTCCTCTCCTCAAAAAAAGCACTCTAAACAAGTTAAACAATCATTTAACAGTAAACTTATTGTGCAAAAAGATTTTATCAAGTATCTAGGAGAAATCTTAGATTTAAATTTTAATTGGAAAAAACATATCAAACATACATATATAACGATATCTAAAGGTATTTGTATTCTTTCAAAAATGAGACATTTTATCCAAATCCAAATTTTGCGCAGCCTTTAGTTTGCTTTTGTTGCTCCTCATGTCAATTATGCCCTGATAAACTGGGGCTGCGCAGCTGCAACAGTTGCCAAAACGATTCAGCGAAATCTTAATAAACTATAAAAGATAATTAGCTTTGAGGACAACAAAACTAGCGCCAAACCAATTTTCAAACAATTAGATATTCTCAATTTTGAAGACAGTTTCAATCTTGAATGTGCCAAACTTATGTATGATGATAATAATAATAATCACAACTCTATATTTAGTCAATTTTTTTGAGCTAACAACATCTCGACATGGATATCAAGCAACAAAAAAGCATCTTGTCATTCCAAAAATTAGAACAAACTGCAAAAAAGATTTATAACGTGTAACGGTGTTCGAATCTGGAATAACATTCCCCTTGTAATAAGAGAAATAAAAAAACAAAACTCTGTTTTGCAAACATCTCCGCAAATGGTTATTAGAAAAAGTATTTGATTTGGAATTCTAAAAATAGGCCTAACAATCTTCCTTCATTCGTACACTAAATCTTCCCCTCCCTTTTAGCCTGAATTGTTTCTACTTTTACTTTGTCAATTGATCTTAAAAAGTTTTCAATTCTCTTTTGCTAAATTACATTATGAAGTTCTCGTTATTGTATCTTGATTAATAATATTCAATGCTATTAGATGTAACTTTTTATAATATCATACTACATAACCCTATTCTATGTAATTTTACTACTTATTGTGTCAATTTCATCATTTTTGTTAACTTAAACGGTGCTGGGCTCGGAAATCGTCTCGATTCTCTCAGCATCCTAGGCAACTATGCTAATAAAAACGTTGTTATTTTATTTATTTAATTCTTTATACACAGCTAATTAATTATCAAAATAAATTGTTGTCCAAAATTGTTGTTGCTGAATTACATGAATTTGAGTTTTAATTTTACCGTTGTTGTGTTTTTCTATAAGGTTTGCATGTTTTTGTTTGAATGCACTGCAATGTATCAGATAATAAAGACAAAACTTTAGATTTATGAGAATTGCTGCTCATCTTAAATTCAAAGAGATAATTGAGAATATGTCACCATGTTTTCCTTGTAGATTAGCTATGTTGCTAATGATCAGCTTAGAAGGGAACTGAAAAAATCATTTACCAAATTTAGAGGGCTTTGAAGCATAGTGAAACAAGAAAACTAAGACATAATTGAGAAAGAAACCAAGTTGTTTTGATTTGTCAGCCTTTGTGTTTATAAAAAGCTATTAAAACAGAGGTTGAATATAAGTGGGCTAGGTCAATCGCCTTGTAGAATTGCTCGCCAATCATCATAATCATATCTACTTTTAGCAACTCCAAAGGTTCGATGCAATGGAGTTTGATATTCAGCAAAACATCGTTAATACTGGCTGAGATTGGTTGTAAAGAAATTGAAAAAGGCATCGAGATTGGCCTGATGCACTAATTGATTTTGTAAACAATTCCAGATCAAAATAATGTTATAAAAAGAGGACTTTAACTGCATCAACTCTGCCAAACTTTTTTAAATAAAGAATTTTGTAGACAATGACAAAAAGTTAAGTAAAGAGTTTTGTAGACAATGATGAAGGCCTTTAAAGGATGAATTTGAATTTAGACATGGTAACATAGGCAGATATTCTTCGATAAAGATGTTAAAATCTAAAACAGCTATGGTTAAATTCCCCTGTTATATTATTATTGTATACTGTTTAGATATCTGTTCAAGATTTTATTATAAATGATCAGATCAAAGGATTGTTCACAGTTTATGTTGGTGTTTGTCAAGGATGCGTGTTATCCACAATCCTTTTCAACATTTGCCTTAATTTCCTAGTGAAAGTATCTATATCAATTGTTCTCAAGAACACAAGTACTATGTCTCCTTAATTGTGATATGCCGACGATACTACTTTTCTCTCTTTTTCAAATTTTATTCGCCCATCCATGGTTTACGCAATCAAAATGATTAACTACAAATATGAAAACAGAGTTTGCAAGACTATTGATAGCTATTGGAAAGTTATAAAAATCAAATAGATGGAGGTTCAGTAACAAACAGAATAGTTTGCGGAAAAGCATGCCAAGATATTCAAAAAAGCAATCATTTTCAAATGTACGAGGCAACCTTTCGCAAAGGGGGCCAGAGGGCAACGCCAAAATTTTAAAAAACTACCCTTATGTGGTAGTATTTTTCCACAATAACCCTCAAATGGTAACATAAGAACCAAAATTATGTCCTTGGTAGCATCCATTTATTTGTGCTTCCCTGGTCCTTCTCTGACAAATTTTTTCACAATTGACTGTTGTAAATTTTGTTCATCATCTATGATAAATTTCAAGCTAAACTAAGGAGTTGAGTTATTATCGAAACTGGGCCAGTTGGTAAGACTTTCAAACCAAATGGACTCTCTCTCAGATTTTAATGCCCCCCACCCCCAGGAGAGGGTTGCCTCACTCATTACTCCCCAAAGACTAGAAATTTTTTACTCCAAAGAAATTGATTGTGCTTCAAACCAGAGATTTTTCTGGTAGAGACAACCAGAACCTAAAGTATTCTTAAGTATATCAAATCAAAGCAAACTTTGATAAACAGTACCAAAATACTCTCAGTGTCAATCGACACCATAATTCCACTTTTGGTCTTTGCAATTGTTTATAGTGTTCCAGCAAGTGTTTTCTGAATTATTACAAATTCATAAAACTATACGTAGATGATATATATTGCTAGCTAGGCATGGATGTTTAACCATAAAAAATATATTGTTAAGGTGAAAATAATTAGTTCAAGTCTTCCCTTGATCTACCTCTACCTCTTTTCTAACAACGATTGGTTACTTCTCAATTACTTTTCAGGGTTTTTGGGCCATCGAACAATTCAAGATTTCGGTGAAATTTGTCATAGCAAATAAACTAAAACTACATTCAAATTTCTCTGCATACTTTCGAAATTTTTTGCACCACTTAGCATCATAGCATTCAGCTTTTCAATCTTTTTTTAGCTCAGCTATTTTAAGTTTTAGCGCATTCAGTTTGCACATATTTAGCACAGAACCTTCTGTCACTGCTTTCCTGTCAGAACATTCTGAGCTATCGTGCCTTTTCTTTTTTTGAGTTTAGTTTTGAAATTTACGTTCAATGCACGTTCTTTTTTCTACAAAAATGCGCTGATAAGGCACTTTTCTTGTAAATTTTGTAGCTTTCGACAAGAGGAGGCAAGAATGCAATTAACAATATTGAAAAGAAAGGTAAGCTTTTTGCTTGAGGTAACCTTATTGATTGATTTTCAGCTCAGTCAACATCACAGTTTCTATTCATTTTCTTTTAGGTAAAATCCAACAATATCAGGCAAAAATCTTCCAGTGTATCTACTTTATGTAGCCATTAACTGGAAAAATGTGATAGCTTGTTCCAGGGCCGTCGCGGAACTGGCGAGGCTAGAGTCGCCCCCCCCCCCAATAATTGTCATATTCTATTATATTTCCTTTATAGCAGTGTACTGAATGAGAAGGAATACAAAAGGCAGCATCCCCATATGAATTTCGTTCTGACGGCACTGTGTTCAGCAATAATCACCAGGAAGAATATATTTGAACTACTATATCAAGAGGATCGTAATGTTTGCATCTGGTAACTCGTCTTTTAAGCTGGAATATTTATAAAAAAAACACTTTTGGAAGCACCCCGAAGTTTGCTGTCAAATTAATTAAAAAATCTATTCTATGCAGTAACCTAAACAGAATTGAACCTCTAGTTTTTCTGCAAGGCACCCATAAATAGCAAAAGCTCCTCAGTTTTGTCAACCCAAATACCACAGTCTATTATTTCCTCAACAACTTAGCATGAATCGTCTGGTACATTTTTAATTTATTCGTTCTTCGGTATGTAGAACTTGATATATGTAATCTTGAGACTAGATTGAAGGCGATGGAAAAGAAATTCTTTTATGCATGCTATGAAACACATTTACCAGAAAAACCACAACACTTAACTTTGGATTACTTACCAGCTCCCAAAAACCATCAACAAAAGTTCACATTGTATACCTTATCTTATACGAATTAAATGAGGTGCCTCGCTAAATCCAAACTTTGCCATTCTTTTGTTGAATAATGTTTAACATTTTCTTAAAGGCTTTTGTCTTAGACATGAACATAACTTTACAAAGAAACAAGGCGCAACTGTACATTTGCTATTCACGTTGAATTCGTTTCCTGGATGGACCGTTATCTCGTTCAATCTTTTTCGACATGAATACACTTTTTTTACAAGAAACAGGCTATAAGAAACGGTAGGCTCAATTTATCGAAAGTTAAGAAACAACCCTACCCAAATTGAAAAAGCTAAAAACTTTAATAATTTGCAGTTTTGATTTTCCGAGTTGACACTCGAAACAGTCTCGACATTGAACATCACTGTATATTGCAACACTACACTTCACAGGCAGTTTGCATTCGTTCTCAGTGAACTGCACACTAGAAGTTTCCATTTAAAAATTTGTTTTGACTTCAACTTGACATTGACAAAGTTCATTCTGCTTAACTGTTTACAGATCTCAACGGAGTTAGTCATTCTAGGAAAACAAAATTCCTTGATCACTTTGTTAGTTTATCTATGAATGTGAGTGAACTATTAACTTTACCTTGGAAGCTAGTTTAAAAAATTCATTACCTAAGAAATTTAAGAAACATATCAGAAACTTTTGATAGCAAAATGGCCAGAAAATTTAAGAAACTGGCTACCAGCACCGGACCTTAGTTTTTTATAAAAAAATATACGTGTATGCCATTCTCGATTCCTCAATGTGCTGGGCCCAAGAACTTTCCTAAAAGCAGATCCTGATGTGATTGATAGAAGGTTCGACCAGATCGAATTAAATTTTCAACAGAATGGAATGAATTATTTTATCTTGGTTTGAACTTCAAGATTCAAACAAAACAGATCATTATAAAACTCATTACAGAATTTCTACTTCGAAGAAAAACGACACCATAGCTTATCATTGTTTTACGCAACTTCCTGTTCCGCTAACATTTTTTGTTGTTTCTTAGAAATGTAGCCACAAGACAGAGCCATTTTCCCCGGCATGCCGCAACCATCATGGAAACCACCTCTCCCGGTACTGCTGGGAGCCGCGAACTTGATGGTTGCGTTACTGTAACGACTTGGAAAAAGTCGAATCGTTTCAACTGTTCTCGACACTACCGGCAGAATTACGCCTGGTTTGCATATAGCCGTAAGATGCTGTAAGGTTGCCGCAGCCATTTCCGGAGCCATTTTCCCCGGCA